GTGTGATGAGAGATCGAACGGGCCATCTTTGACCCGCCGAAGGCCGCCATCCAATCACTCATCACTCTCTCATCTACATCTTTCCTGGCAGCTTCTCTCCTCAATTCTCATATCTTTGCATGGAGAAATATTCTATCTCTCATGGACACTCACGTCTCACCTTCTGGCCAGCTGGCTACACATGAGGTCACATGCGCGCATTCAGTCGTTGCGCGCTGCCATGCGTAGGCTGCAGACAGCAAGGGGGGGCACGAAGCAACAAGTGCATCGGCAGTTCACAGGGAGCGTGTCAAAGTATAGTTTTTGTATTGCAACTTGCACCCCGGGCTCCCGGGCTCTGGACTTAGTCGCATTGAGGGCCTTTCGAAAGCTGCGATCTTGGTAGGACCCAGCTGTACTCGTATCCCTTTGGAGCTTTGAGTCTCGTCCCGAGCGCGAGGACTACGAGCAGCTCTTCGAGCTGTGGCGGGGCAACGACATGGACTCTCGAGCTGCAGCCTGCGCCTGGCTAAGAGAGGTGGGTAGCTCCAAGTGGGGGACGTGGATCAGATTCAGCAAGCAAGTGTCGCTGTTCCAAGAGTTCCCGCCCACCAGTGGCTGCTTCCCCACCTTCTATGTCTTCCTGCTGCTGTTTTCCGCGATGCTGTTCGTGCATCAGCTGCTGCCACGTTGCTACAGATACTGCAAGAAGGTTTGTGAAAGGCGGCCAGCAGAGACCAACCCTAGTTGGGAGCCCACAGATTTGAGCGACATTGCGCGGCGAATGAACACCAGGGCCAACTACACCCGGCCCGACTTCACATCGAAGCTGATCGCATGCAAGAGTACTTCCTTTGTGGAAGTGAAAATGGCACTCTTGAGAGGCAGCATGGGTTTCATGAGCTTCTTTCGAGACGAGGAGGACTTTTGCTCTGACAGCGGACAAGCACTGCTCCCGCCTGCGGCATCGTCCTGTTTCCGGCAGTACTTCCACACTAGGCTGCAAGTCCTCGTCTACATCGTCACTTCCGGGTTGGCGCACATTGGTTTGAGCGCTCTGACCTTTGCATTTGCCTCAGGAATGGTGGGTGCATTGTTAGCTGAAGTTCGAGCAACCATCCAGAGGAATAAGCAAGTGGATCCATCGCTCCAGAACGAAGACTGGTATACGGAGTGGCTGTCAAACATGCAGACAGTCACTGTATTGATGGATGATTTTAAATTTCTTCCAACATTCTTCATCACCTACATGATTGGCCAAGATGTAAGCCGTTGGCTGCAGTGGCTGAAGATCATGTTCTGTGTTCAAGGAAGGCTGCATGATGTAGCTTTGATAGTTTCCAGCTCATATCGCAGAGTCAATGATGCACATATTGGCAAGCAGCAGAGGCAGATGTTGTTCAAGTGGTACAGATATTTGAATGCAATTCACTACCTGGGCTACTACAAGCTTTCACCTACAATTGGGACCTCTCCCGAAGGAGTTGTGCAGGATCTGCGCACGGTGGGTCTGTTGAGAGACTCAGAATGTGAGCAGTTGCAACTTGCCAGTGCCAAAATGCGGGACACGTTGGTCTCTTGGCTCGGCCACTTGTGGCATGACGAGCTGGATCGGGGCTTCGTTCAGGCTGGTTTACCTGTTGAATGTCACAACATTGATTGTCTAAACAGACTCCTTTTTGGGTTTTTGCTATGCAATTTTCGGGCTGCTTTGGGATTGGTTGTGGGTTGCCCCAACCACCAAAACCAGCCCAAAACTTGCGCAACCACATCCCAGAAGCAGCCCAAAAGCTAGTTCAAAAGCCGAGCCGCACACCTCGCGCAAGTCAGCTCCAAGCCAACCGATATCAGCCCTTTACAAAGCCTCAAAGAACCCCAAGCAAACCCAAGACCCGCCCTCGTTATGTAAGACCTCAGCAAGCCCAACAATCCCCCAAAACCACTCTGAACTGCCACCTAATTGAAGCCAATTGGCCGCGGTCCGAGCGAGGCCAATGCTGGGGATGCTGGGGATGCGGCCCGGCGAACTAGGCCCCAGAGAATACCGCCTGCCCCCAACCTGAGAGCAAGGGTTCCCAGCCAACCTCTTCAGAGCCACATGAAGGCCTTGTGCTGAGCCGGGGCTAGTAAAAAGCTGGGGCTAGTTTAAAAAAATCAAAAAACAAAACACAAGAAACACAAAACACAACACCTCAACCAGTGTCACCGATGCGAGGCCCTGGACTCAGATGTTTTCATGCGGAAAGTCTGTGACCTGCGTGGGGTGCTGGCACAACTCGCGGATATGCAAGACATGCAGACCAGTCAAATGGTGCGGGTGATGATGGTGGTTGTCACAAACATACTACTTGGCCTGGCCTTGATCGGCTATCCCACCAAGATGTACGAAGAAACCACTGAATGTTTCCAGTTCTGGCCGCTGGTGGCTTCATATCTGTACTTCATTTGCTATCGTGGCATGCTGCATGTCATGTTCATTCTGGACAAGGGCCCTTTCTACGCAAAGGGCGACTGCGTCAACATTGACAATTTGCTCGTTAGCACGGAACGCTTCGTTTTCCACGTGTTTCGCAATTCTTTCAGAAACCCACGTTCCGACGACTACCTTCTCAAGCCAAAGCAACCTATTGACCAGTTTGATCCCATTGATCCTGGTGATGTGTGAGCCAGGAGGAGCCGTTGCCAAGGAGCACGGCGAGTAATTTTGGAAAACGTGGGTTGTTGCTCAGTATGCCCTTTGGTCACAAGTCCGTTGAGCATTTGTTCGAGATACCAATTACATTTTTCAGGTTGTTGCCCCACATCGTTTTCCAAGACTATTTGCATAGCCGTACAGATTTCACATCAGTCCTGCAAAAAGCAGTCTGTTAGTCCAATCATCGAGTACTAACTATCTCTCTTGCGTGAGCTTTTTTAGATTTGCCAGCCATGTAATTCATGCATGTCTCTTGGCAAATGGCGGGCAATCAGGTTTGCTCTCCAGCCGGAGCCAAGTCAGGCGTCCGAAAGCGGATGGCGCTGCCCGTAGCTGCAATAGCACGGCTGCTACCAGGTGCTCCGGCGACAAGCTGCCTGTTGGCACTGGTATGATTACCCACGGCATGGTGAGAGGCGTTGCAATGATTGCGCAGTGAGGCAGGCACAGAGCATGGCGCAATGCATGGCACAAGTGGCACGCATGGGATGGCGACCATGCGACGGTCGAGTGGGCTCCGGGTGCGGGCGCGTGGGCGCGCCCTGCGAGTCCCTTCTGCTCCAATGATGCGGGCCTGAAGCTGGCAGTTGACAAAGGAGGGCCAGGGGGAAACTCAGCTGAGGCGCTCAAGGCGTTCCTGAGCTTCTGGCTATGCGCAGAGGCCAAAGCTTGCAGACGGTGATTGGAATGTGCACTCCGTAAACCCAATCCAGACCATTTTTTGAAAGCCAAGCTTCTTTCTCGGTGTGCAAGTCAGGCCATTCTCCGTGGCAGCGAGCTCAGCGGGCCTTTTGGAGCGTTGGCGCTCTTGTCCCCAAGGTCCAGCTGGAGAGGCGCCTGGGTTGCATCGCTTTCAATGGATTGTTGCTTGTGACGACACACACACACACACAACACAACACAACGCAACACAACGCAACGCAACACGACACGACACAACACCACACAACACCAACAAACAACACGCAACACGCAACACGCAACACGCAACACACAACACAACACACAACACACAGCACACAACACACAACACGCAACACGCAACATGCAACATGCAACACGCCACACGCAACACACAACACACAACACACAACACGCAACATGCAACACGCAACACGCAACACACAACACAACACAAACACAACACAAACACAACACAAACACAACACAAGCACAACCCAAACACAACACAAACACAACACAACCACAACACAACCACCACACACACAACACAAACACAACACAAGCACAGCACAAACACAACACAAACACAACACAAACACAACCAAACACAACACAAACACAACACAAACACAACACAAACACAACACAACGCAACGCAACGCAACACAACACCAACACCAACAGCAACACAACACACACACACACAACACAAACACAGCACAAACACAATACAAACAACACAAACACACCACAAACACAACACAAACACAACACAAACACAGCACAAACACAACCAACCACAACAAACACACAACACAAACACAACACACACACACAAACACAAAAACAACACAACACAACCCAACGCAACGCAACACAACACAACGCAACACAACACAGCACAACACAGCACAACACAGCACACACACAACACAACAAAACACAACACAAAACAACGCAACACAACACAACACAACACAACACAACACAACACACCACAACACACCACACCACACCACACCACAACACAACACAACACAACACAACACAGCACAACACAACACAACACAACACAACACAACACAACAACACACACACACACACACACACGCCAACACACACACACACCACACCACACCACACCACACCACACCACACCACACCACACAACACAACACAACACAACACAACACAACACAACACAACACAACACAACACAACACAACACAACACAACACGCCAACACACACACCACACCACAACACACGACACCACACCACACCACACCACAACACAACACAACCCAACGCAACACAACACAACACAACACAGCACAACACAACACAACACAACAAAACACAGCAACACACACACGCCAACACACACACACACACCACAACGCAACACAACGCACCACACAACGCACCACAACGCAACGCAACGCACCACAAGACACACCGCAACACACCGCAACACACCACAACACACCGCAACACACCAACACAGACCACAACACACCACATCACCACATCACCACAACACCACAACACCACAACACCACAACACCGCAACACCACAACACACCACAACGCACCACAACACCACAACACACCACAACGCACCACAACACACCACAACACACCACAACACAACACAACACAACACAACGCAACACAACGCACCACACAACGCACCACAACGCAACGCAACGCACCACAAGACACACCGCAACACACCGCAACACACCACAACACACCACAACACAACACAACGCAACACAACACACCACAACACACCACAACGCACCACAACGCACCACAACGCATCACAACGCACCACAACACACCACAACACACCGCAACACACCAACACAGACCACAACACACCACATCACCACATCACCACAACACCACAACACCACAACACCACAACACCGCAACACCACAACACACCACAACGCACCACAACACCACAACACACCACAACGCACCACAACACACCACAACACACCGCCACACACCACCACACGCCGCCACACGCCATTGCACACCACCACACACCGCCACACAGCACACACCACACACCACACACCACACACCACACATCACACACCACCCACCACACACCACACACCACACACCCCACACCACACACCACACACCAACACGCGCACACACACACACACACCAACACACACACAAACACACACACACACCAACACACACAGACACCAACACACACACACAGACACCAACACACTCACCAACACACACACACGCACACACGCCAACACACACACACACACACACCACACCACACCACACCACAACACAACACAACACAACACAACACAACACAACACAACACAACACAACACAACACAACACACCGCAACACAACACAACACAACACAACACACAACAACACAACACAACACAACACAACACAACACAACACGCACACACACACACGCCAACACACACACACACCACACCACACCACACCACAACACAACACAACACAACACAGCACAACACAACACAACACAACGCAACGCAACGCAACGCAACGCAACACAACACAACACACAACACCAACACACCACACACACACACACACGCCTACACACACACACACGCCAACACACACACACACACACCACAACACACCACACCACACCACACCACAACACAACACAACACAACGCAACGCAACACAACACACACACTTGGAGTGCCCGTTACACCTCGGCAATGCGCTTGATTTGCTTGTCAGCAGCGCAGGGAGGATTGCAAAGAGCTGGCATGTCCAAGGTCCAGAGTCGCTGGTACGGTCTTCGCAGCAGTTGGGGACGCTTGGAGACTTCGCTATCGAGCTTTTTCAGAATTGACAAGGACATGTGTGCGATCTTGTTGAGTGTAAGGCTTTTTATTTGTTGTTGTTGACATAGCAGTCTTCGCTGGCAGGACCCGTCAAATGAGACTAGAGTGTACAAAGACTCTGGCAAAAACCCAGATGGAACTGGAGTTGTGCTGGAGACGCGCGTTATGTCGATTGCTGGTGAATCGAACAGTTCAAAGGCCTCGCATCGATCTTTCGAGGCTGCTACACCAGAAGGGAATGTCACTGTCCATGTGGCATCGAAGAACGAGAGCTCGGCTTCCGAGTCGAAGGTGAGGGTGATTCCACCGCCAAGGAAGCCACTGAGTCAAGATGATTTCGTGGTGCACATCAAGTCGCTTGAACGTGTGGATGGCAAAGCGCCCCTCTTGGCGAAGAAGTCGAAATCGGCTCCCAAGTTGAATTCCACGTCGCGGGCAAACGTGAGCATTCAGGTCTTTACTGTCACTGAAGCCCCACGAGAACGCAATGAGCCTACTCCCTCTCGGCTGGAATACAGTAGCCCGATGTGGGCGGACGACTGGGGACCCGTCCTTAGATGGGCATCAAAACTGCGTGACCCTGCGGGTCAGGGTTCCGTTGGGTTTCCTGTTTGGTTTCCCGGCTCCTTTGCATTCCTTTGCCCTTCTGCTGTGTGTTTTGAGCATGTTCCCATTTTGGAGACCTTGCCTTCGCACACGTTGAACTTGAGGAGACGAGTGGCGATCAACTGCTCGATCTTCCAAGGAGCACAAAAAGGACGCTGCAAGAGCACGAGCAAGTCTTTGCGTTGGCTGTGTGCGGCTCAACGCTTTTGGGCAATGGTCGGATGACACTGAAAGCAGGAGTTGCCAGTCTACGAGCAGTCCTTTCGAGGCTGACCTGGACTTGCGCTGCGTGTGCAAAACTTGTCTGGATGACTGCTTAGAAGCTGGTTGAAACGGCATGCACCATGCTTGTTCTATGCTCTTTCTTTGCACGAGTACTTGATGGCTGGCTCGCAAGTTGTCAACCTTTCGGGATGAGTGGTAACACTCGACCAACGGCTCAAGCATGCTGCTAGTATCTTTGAGGCTGCTCAGCGTTTTTCATGTTACTGTATGCACTCATGTGCCACATGGCGCTCATCCGGAACAGGTCGAACGTTACGCCGAGGCATTGCAGCACGGGCTCTTTCAATGTCGGGACGGCTCGGAAGCGCTGGCTGCCAGCGTCTTGAACGATGACTTCTGTGACTGCGCGGACGGATCCGATGAGCCTGGCACCGGGGCCTGTGCCGGCGTGCCGGGTGCCATGCTCTTCTGCCAGAATTTGGGCTCGGTGCCCAGGTGGGTGTACAGCTCCCGAGTGGGCGATGGCATTTGCGACTGCTGCGATGGCAGCGACGAGGCTGGTTGCCCGGACACCTGCGCCGTAGAGGGCCCTGCCCTGATTGCCCAAGTGCGAGCAAGGGAGGAGGACATTCGGGAAGGACGGCGAATTCGACGGCAGCAGATGGAAGAGGGCGGCAAGCAGGCAGCGATCTGGCGAGCCGAAAAACAAGGCTGGAGGGGAGCATGAAGCAAGCATCAATGACGCTTGAAACAGAAATCTCGCTTCCAAGTGGGGTTCGCGTTGGAAGTCCCTGTGACTCACCATGAAGTGGCTAAGGTCAACTTCACCATATAATTAATAGATTACCTGAAAGGCGAAGACCGCTCTCCGTTTTGCACGCCAGGCTTGGATGACGAACTGGCGAAGCTTATGCTGGAACGCTCAGGCCTGGACAACAAGAAGGCTCCGTCGACAGATCCTCAAGTTCGCACTCCTGCCAACACTCCAAAGTCAACAGCCAGAGAAGCACCTGCGATTTCTGAGTATGCCAAGTGGTCGCTACAACCTGATGAACAGAACCAGGCCGCAGATCAGCCTGGGGAGCTTCAATGCTGGGTCGGCGAATTTGTGGGCGCTCAAGCGTGGTGCTGTGATCCCAGTCAAGGTCCGCGTGGCCGAGGGGAGTGTTGGGACCAGGTCTTTACATTCGAAGCATGCTGCCCGAATGCCAAAGTCGCGACCTCAGAGGATGTCGCTCGTCTCATCCGCCAAGTGAAGGGGCGAATCTTCACATTGGAGAGGAAGCTGAAGGCAGTGTCAAGAGATCCTCGGTGGTTTGCCTTGGCTGAGACATGTGTCAAGAAGGATGTCATGGGAAAAGAGTTCAGCATTTGCTTCTTTGGGGATGCTCGTCAAGGCTCCGTGAGTCTCGGAAGTTTCGAAGCCTGGGATGAAGCCGGACATCAGCAGCTGTACACCGGAGGGCAGCGCTGTCCTTCTGGTCCATCGAGATCCCTGAAGCTTCGTCTGGTATGTGGAGCTGAGACTCAGCCACTTGGCTGAGACTCGTGGGGTTGGGCGCCTTCATGGAGGCACTGAGTGCCTGGCTGCGTTTGCCTCCTCATGCCCTTGATAGTCCAAGAGATTGTATCCCTTCACAGGTTACTTGGGTGGGTTCTTGCCAGATTGACAGCCCGGTGTCATGGTGAGTCTTGTGCATTGGTCCCAATGCTTGACTTAAGCCGAGGCTGCTGGACATTTCTGAGGTGTCCTTGTGTAGCTATGAAGCGGCGGCGAGCGCTCCAGGAGCTTGTGGGTCGGAAGATCTCCAGGATTCGTCGACTCCGCTGACTCCACTGACTCCGCTGACTCCGCTGACTCCGCCGCAATGAGCACATCCAGCTTGTGAAACATCGGCAAGGGGGCATATTGCGTACCGGGCTACACGGGCAGCGAACAGCACGTCGGACGGTGCAGAAAGAAGTCTTTTGCAGCAGCAGCCGGCGTTTGACCTCTACCTCAGCTGCCGCGACAGTTGGCTTGCAGGCCCCAGAGTTGCATGCAGAAGTGTGCGTCAGGAATTGCAGTTTGGGTTGGGCCTTGACCGAAAACCCATGCTGCGTTCCAGCTGCATGCCTGGCATCCCACTGCGAGCGCAGTTGCTGTGGTGTATGAAGACTCCTGCGGGGTGTTTACCAGCAGTAGTGTTGTATCCCGGAGATTTGCCCTTTGGATGCTTCAGAAACCGTCTCTTGCCAATTATCGGACATGTTGAAGTGTCTTCGCCGGGTGCAAGTTGACCCCAACCACGGAGGTCTGGACCTGTGTTCTCAGAAGCTCGATGCTCGCATTGACCATCACATTGCCTCTCACATGCCCCATTGATCTGGTCTACAGTCGGGCCTTTCAACAGACTTGCCCGCGAGCAGGCATCTCCTGCGAATTCCGGCGCCACCTTCACCTGTATGGTGGGCCTCAGCATCAACGCAACGGCCACAGTGCCTGGCCCGGGAATAGCGCAATCACCATTCCAAACGTGGAGCACACCTGCATGGGCTTCACCGCTGAAAGTACTTGCTTTGCCTTGTTGTCGCGACGGCCTCACCAGCACAGCGGAGCCTCGGCAGCACTGAACCAGTCGACGACGTTCCGGAAGCCCACGCCATTGTGGGATCTTGAGGTGGCAAGCTTTGAGCAGAGCCTGCGAGCTTGGAGGACAAAGGCGAGCTCCATAGAAGTCAGGTAGACGAGCAGACGGTCCACGCGGAATGCAAGCCTGCCAAACACATTCGCAGGAGTCCACCGGCATCCCGAAATGCGCTTCGCTGCTGCACAGACCAGCTGCTAGAGAATGTCGGCCTGGTGCTGTATTCGTGGTGCTGACGTTGGACAATGGATGACTCTTGGGAATTCGCGCGAGTTGTAGAAAGTCGCACCTTGTTCTTTAGCATTGTGCACTCTCTCTCGTGCATTGTCTTTTCGCAGGTGTGCCAGCATAGCAAAGCAACACTTGGGCTTGGCTCAAAGTGTTATGATTCGAGTTGGTTTCCAAGCCTTGACCGACTTTGTGTCAAGTGAACTCACAATCTCCATGTGAGCAATGACAAGCCCTACAAACATCAGGCAGACAGGACCACCGCCGCCAACAATTATTTCAGCTTTATTAGTCCAGATGCCATGAAGATCCGAATCTGAGGTAGTGCTCAGCTTGAGAAAGAGCGAGAACTTGTTGCACAGACTCCGCAGGTCTCATGCCACAGGAGCAAGAGGACTCTCAGTCAAGCGCAGGGAAAGTTGTGGCTGACTCACTGTGCGGAGCATGGCTCACAGGATGTCCCAGCAGATGGAGATGCCAGTCGTGTTGCAGATGTACCAGAGGCTTCAAGAGAGTTCAGCCAGGCAGAAGTAGAACATTTGTTTGAGCAAACATCTGAAGACTCCTTTGTTGATGGCTGTATTATTTGTGCAGTCTAGCGGCACCAACATTCGTATGCGGTCCTGGCTAGGTGGCTGCTCCGGAGCAGAGTGCAGCAGCAGACACGAAGCCCTTTGTTCAGACCAGTGAGGACTGTCATGCTTGAAGTCTTGCCATTGACAAAGAGACATGGACAAATACAGTGGCCGGGTGCGGCAGCCAAACAAACAAGCAAACAGAGACAGACAGACAGACAGACAGACAGACAGAGACAGACAGAGACAGACAGAGACAGACAGAGACAGACAGAGACAGACAGAGACAGACAGAGACAGACAGAGACAGACAGAGACAGACAGAGACAGACAGAGACAGACAGAGACAGACAGAGACAGACAGAGACAGACAGAGACAGACAGAGACAGAGACAGACAGAGACAGACAGAGACAGACAGACAGATCTCTGTCTCTCTCTGTCTCTCTCTCTGTTTCTTTCTCTGTGTGTCTCTCTGTGTGTTTTTCTGTGTCTCCCTCTCTCTCTCTCTGTCTCTCTGTCTCTCTGTCTCTCTGTCTCTCTGTCTCTCTGTCTCTCTGTCTCTGTCTCTCTGTCTGTTTCTCTGTCTCTCTGTCTCTGTGTCTGTCTCTCTGTCTCTCTGTCTGTCTGTCTCTGTCTCTGTCTGTGTCTCTGTCTCTGTCTCTGTCTCTGTCTCTGTCTCTCTCTGTCTCTGCCTGTCTGTGTTTCTGTCTGTCTGTCTCTGTCTGTGAGACAGACAGAGAGACAGAGAGACAGAGAGACAGACAGACAGAGAGACAGACAGAGACCGACAGAGACAGAGATAGAAAGAGACAAACAGAGAGAGACAGGCCGAGACCGACAGAGACAGAGACAGACAGACAGACAGACAGACAGGGAGACAGACAGACAGACAGACAGTCAGACAGACAGACAGACAGACAGACAGACAGACAGACAGACAGACAGACAGACAGACAGACAGACAGACAGACAGACAGACAGACAGACAGACAGACAGACAGACAGACAGACAGACAGACAGACAGACAGACAGACAGACAGACAGACAGACAGACAGACAGACAGACAGACAGACAGACAGACAGACAGACAGACAGACAGACAGACAGACAGACAGACAGACAGACAGACAGACAGGGAGACAGACACACGTAAGAGAAAGAAAGATGGAAAGAAAGAAAGAAAGAAAGAAAGGAAGAAAGAAAGAAAGAAAGAAACAAAGAAAGAAAGGACAAATGAAGGAAGGAAGGAGGGAAGGAAGGACGGAAGGAAAGAAAGAGAGACATAATTGACACAAACACAGAAAGAAAGCAAGAAATAGCCAGTGCAAAGAAAGAAAGCAGGAAGGAAGGTTGGAAGAAGGAAAGAAAGAAAGAAAGGCATAAATAGAGGAAGGAAGGAAAGAAAGAAAGAAATCAATAATTGACAGAAACACATAAAGAAAGAGAGAGAGAGAGAAAGAAAGAAAGAAAGAAAGAAAGAAAGAAAGAAAGAAAGAAAGAAAGAAAGAAAGAAAGAAAGAAAGAAAGAAAGAAAGAAAGAAACAAAAATGAAAGAAGGAAAGAAAGAAAGACAGAAATAGAGAAATAATAAGGAAACACATAAAGCAATAGTACATATATAAAGAAACAACGTAACACGCAATAGCAATATAAATAAATGAGACACACAGCAACATGTACAAATGCGTGCAAAACAAACACACATGCGCAAGCACCCGCACACATTCACACATACAAACACACACACACACATACGCGCAAACACAAGAGCGCAACAGCACGCAAACACACAAACAGACAACCAAACAGAGAAACAATCAAAGACACACACCAAGACAAACAGCACTCATACACAAACAAGCAAGCACAGCTACATTGACACTGAAAGAAGGAAAGAAGGACACACACACACACAAATAAATGACGAAATGAAGGAAGGCAGGAAGGAAGGAAGGAAGGAAGGAAGGAAGGAAGGAAGGAAGGAATGCAGGGAGGGAGGGAGGGAGGGAGGGAGGAAGGACGGACGGAGGGAGGGAGGGAAGGAAGGAAGGAAGGAAGGAAGGAAGGAAGGAACCTGTCTTCTCTCCGTTCCGCGTCACGTTGTCTCTCGGCAGGACGCGGCCCGCAAGCCGCCGCAGCAAACGCTCTCTCGAGGAGAGAGCCTGCTACAAAGCTTGACGGCCAGCCTGGAGGCAAGAAGTATGATACATGCGGTTGTGATCTTGCTTGGGCCAGACAGCCGAGACCAGTCGGATGCTGGACGTGTGAACGGATTCAGGGTCAGCTCATGGACTCAGAGCCTTGTAAGGCCATGAGCCCTTCGCTTCAAGCCCTTTCAGAGCGCGACGAGGAGAGACATGCTGCCTTTGAACCTTTTAATTTGGCTTCCTTTGCAGAGAGTCCACGATTTTGGATTGACCAACCTGTGAGATTCCAGTCCAAGTGAATCAGCTCAAAACTTCACACTTGTGGAACCTGCGACTTGCACCTTGGGGTTCAGGAACTCCCTCGGACTTGTGGTTGCGCAAGCCGGCGTCGCACTCGCAGGAGAATGATATCCTGGGAGATTTGCCGCAGGTTCTCCAGAGGATGCGCAGCTCTGGAGTTCTGTTCTCGGCTGAAAGAGAGCAACACACTTGTAGAGAGGCTGAACCGCTCCGGCCTGCCAAGTCAGCATGGCGGTTTCGTGCATGCCAAGGAGGATGCGCTGGCTGCGAGCACTGAGCCTCTTGCCGCGCAGGCCGCAGAGCTTTTTCCTCGCTGACGGCTTCGGTTCGGCTTCAGGCCGAAAGCTCCATCGTGGAGTCCTTGCGACAGAGTCGTCAAGATCGTCAAGCTGAGCCCAGTCCTAGTCTACCTCGCAAGCTGGAGGACCGTGATCAGCACATGGCATTGGCCATGCCTTTGCTCAGATTCGAGGAGTCGGCAGCGGCTTCCCCACCCAGATCCGAAACGGGCATACTGCGGGATGCTGACAGCCGTAGTTCCAGCAAAGACTCGTCTGCGGACAGCCGCTTTCCGAGCAAGTCACGGTTCCCTGACAGCCGCTCTCAATCGAAGGACTGTGCACTTGCTGCGCAACCGACAGCTCTTTGCATTGACTTCATGCCCTAACAGCAGTCGCAGGACGCGAAGAATGTCACAACCGGCAAGGAGGGCGGCTGTTGTGTTTGCGAATATCCGGGACATGACCTCGCTGTTCGTTGCTTTCTTCTGATTTGAGTTTCTTTGGAACGATGCGTGAGGCTACAGCATCCCGTGCAGCTTCGCACCGGGTGCGCACGACAGCCTGTGATGGTCGTGCTGGTTGCAACCGTGTAGATTTGACCGTGCACAAATGTAGGCAAGCGTTTGAGGCAGCTGTTTGTTCAGCTAGACTGTCATGTATGTTCAGCCATCGATCTGGTATGTGCATGAGAGCTCTGTGCATTCGGACTTGACAGGCTGCCCGGTTTGACCGAGATGATTTGAAGCGAATAAGCGAGGTCCTCAACCCTGCAACGGAGTTGGTGGATATTCCACATCTGTGCGATTGCTTCATAAGGCGAAGAAATGCAGGAGATGCGGGGCTCAGTTCATTGATCACAGATATTCACAGATCCGTTCTTGTTTTTTGGGCCGCAAGGACAGATTTGTTGAAAAGATGGAGCATTTCACGCTGGTTGCGCGGATGGCAAGGCCCACGTTTTCAGAGACGCGAGGTTTGCAAGCACTTGGACCTGAGGCTTGAAGAATCTCTGGAGAATCAGCTTGGAAGAGAAGGTGGACGCAGTTGTCTGTGGTTTCTTATGGATACCCCCTTTCAGACCCTCTTTTTCCGAGTGATTCCAGTCTGAAGCGGGGTATCCACAAGAAAGCTATGAGCAGTTGCTTGTTGTTGGGCTGGCAAGGGCCTTCCCTTTCAAGAGAGGTCTTGGCGAGTGGCACTCAGGCTTTGTCACAGCAGAGATCGAGGATCTCAAGATGGAAAACAGGCGAGCTTTCAAGGAGCGCGACTGAGGGTTCGTTCCTTCCATACAGGTACCACGTGGAAGAAAAGCAGAAGTTGCAGCAACAGCTGGAGGAAATTAGCGTCGCTCTCAATCGACCTTGTGAATACCTTGATTGTGTGGCCAACTGAGGAGAAGCAACAGCAGGGAATACTTGTCGAATCCGCGATGTGCTTCTGCCATGAGTTTTCACAGCAGAACATGACATTCGCATTGGTACGCGTGCTGAATGTGTCACGGAGATCTCCAACGTGTCAAGCTGTTTCAAATGACTCTCTTCGTGGCGATTGGACCACATGCCACTTCGAGAAAAGCTGAAACTTCTGGAGCGAAGCTCATGCACTCTAATATCCATCACGCACGAATCCAATCCGAGCCATCATATGCTGAAAGGGAACTCCTTGGTCGCTAAAGAAACCATCCGAATGGGAGGGCTCTTCGACAAAATGCTAGGTTGATAGCTCGGTTTTTCATTCACATAATTATATATATATATGTTTATACATCCATACATATTAATATATACTATCATTATACATTATACAAAGATATAGATAGATGGATAGATAGATAGACAGATAGGGAGGTAGATAGGGTGTAGGTAGACATTGACATGGAGATATAGACATTGATATATATATATATACATATAAATATATAGATAGATAGATAGATAGATAGATAGATAGATAGATAGACAGACAGACAGACAGATAGATAGATAGATAGATAGATAGCTGGCTAGCTAGCTAGATAGCTAGCTAGATAGCTAGATAGCTAGACGGATATATATATATATATCTATATATTTGTAGATAGATAGGTAGGTAGATAGATAGATAGATAGATACAGGTGGATACAGACAGGTATAGATAGATACAGCTAGATAGACAGCTAGATAGATAGCTAGCTACACTGGACACATATTGATGTCGACCTGTCACACTCCCGCCGGTTGCACATATTTTTCTTTGGACCATTCCATGTTGTACTGCAATAGAAGCATCATTTGGAGGTCACAATGTGTCAAGCCGCCTTGACTGTCTTATGCCGTATCATGCCGCTTTTTCGGGTCACATGCTCACCTAGCACGGGTACGTCTGGTGGTGTCTTGCCTGCAAAATATTCTCATAACAAGTCAATCGCTGTCTTCACATGCGTAGCGACAAGGCCATGTTGCACATAGCATGCCGTCAACTTTGCCTGCCGACAACGCTACACTGCTGCCAACCGCAAACACATGCACCCCATGCTCAGCCACCCGTGAAGGGCACCAACTTGTCCTGGTTGGATTGCGCTATGTGGCTTCTGTGAGGCAAATACCAGCAGGTTAAAAGAGGATGCACGTAGCTGTGAGTCATGTTCAACATCTGCCCAAATGTAAGTGGACACATCTAAGGCTCCGTGAATCACTGAATTTGATGAACTGCTTTACCTCAGGTTTTGCATCTTAGACGACCCCTCTGATGCTTGCCGATAGATTGTGCTTGCCGCGGCAATTGACTTGTTTCCAGTCAAGGAGGTAACACCAGGACTTGTTTCAGTCTTGAAATGCCCGAACCAAGACAACGGTGGCTCAGCAGGCCGTGCCGGGACACTGCAACTTGACTGCCAGGATCAGCATCGGCTTGAAAACGCCGCGGACCATGCGTACCGCACCGCCAAGCACTTGGAGGAGGCTGGGTTCCCTACCTTTTTTCCAACCACGGAATTGGACGCGGGAAGATATGGGGAACCCTGTCATTGTCTCACCTTTGCCCCTGTCTGGTCTTTTCTTGCCTTTTTACCTTGGCAGGTCAGCAGCAACTTCTCAGTGACCAAGGAGGCGAATGGCGTTTGTCAACAGGAAGTAGCGGCCATTTTTTGTTGGAACGGTCGTGAGATGTTGCTTTGGACCCAACATCGAGGTATCATTTTTGCTTTCGACATGTGCTTCACTTCGAAGGTCTTGGGAGAAGATATCGGGCGGATGGCCAAAGCTGTGCAGGCAGATGACGGAAGCCGTTTCACGCCCCGCGCGCGTCTGTCGGCGGAGCCAGGTGCTGGCAAACGAGTTCAGGATCATCGAAGAGGACTTCCAAGAGGGTTGCTCAGCCTCAAAACCAGCACGAAAGCCAAACTCCAGCACTTCAGTTGTTTGGTGAATGCAGGGAAGTCGTACCCAAGAAAATATCGCTTCCCTTATTGCCCAACGGCCAATGCATCGTCAGGAGCATCGAAGAGTAGAGCAGCAGAAGGCTCCAAAAGTTTGCATGGTGCAGTGACTGTTTTCTACTGTACACATGGCAAAGCTGCGGGCAATGCAGGCCCATGAGTTGAAAATCGCAGGCCACTGATCTGTGGCGTTTTGCACATGTATGAGACATCGTCGTTGTGTGTGCAAGGACATGCAATCAAAGAGGCCAGCTACGTTCGTCCTCCCTCGTGCAGAGCTGTGTTGCCTAAAGCAGTCCTTGTGTGACTCAGAGTGGGAATGGAGAGGGGCAATGGCCTGCGCAGTTGCAAGAGCAGATCGGGAAGCAGGAGGTTCAGAGTGGTGCTATGGAGCACCTTGCCACAAATGGATTTGTTTTTGTGAGTGTCTCCAACAGTTACATGTCAGGAGCGACCTGATCCAGGTGAAGCAGCAGTTCGGGACGTATGCCAAACAGGCGCTGTCAAGGCTTTGATCTCGGGCTGGCCTAAACCAACACCAGGCTGGCGTTCAAAGACTTGAGAAGAGGATCCTGGACATGCAGGAAGAGACTGGCAGGCAGCACGTACCTGTGACATGGCGGCGTTCTTCTTTTCTAGAGGCTGCAAGAATTTGTGCACGAGAAGTTCTTGACGATACAGCCTTGCTCTTACAGCATGCTTTACCGATTTGTAGAAGTATGTAGGCGACTGAGACTTGCAGGTCTGGATGCGAGCAGCAATAAAATGCTTGGCCTTCTGAGGGATGCGGAAAGAAGGGAGATGATGTCCGCATTTGCTGCAAAGTGGGATCCGTGCGCATGTCCCACGTTGCCGATGTGCTTGAGACCCCTTTCCCTCTCTTTGCCCCCACACAAAGCACAGACATGAGCACATGACTTGGAGGTACAACAAGTCCCGGCTGTTGCGCAAAACTGTGGACGGGTGGGCCAAAGCCCCAGTCTCGACTTGTGAGTCGTGCTTTCACAATGTCCAGCGCAGGTCGAATTTCTGCGACGGCAGAACCGATCACGCGAGGCTCCGATGGACAGGTTGAGTCGCAGTGGGTGGGCATTGCATGCAGGCGCTGCAAAGCGTGAAGCAAATCTACGCCCGTCTCCCATGCACAACTGAGCAGTCAAAACCTTTCGGCTCTGTTCCAGAGGTTTTGGGCAGACCTTGTTGGAGCCAATTTTTTGTTTGTGACTCCAATCTCTCAAAGGCAAAGACGCACGTCACGGCGAGATTGAGGTCCTGGTGGCGTGGGCCCGAGTGAGCGCGAGAAAAAGACTCGTGTCCCAAGGTCAAAGCTGGGTTCCAATATCCCCAAACCAGTTTTAGGGGAAAGCGGGTTAGTGGCCAGGGATTGCATATATCCCAGTTCATTTGAAATTTGGGGGTAGCGGAAACCAGCTTAGACTCAGAATGTCAGGAGGTACTGGCTGCCATGTCAGAATGAGGTTCTTTCTCCTTTGACTTGCTGCGGCATATAAGATAGTTCGCTCGTGATGCGGGCCGGCGTATTAGCTGGGCAGCCAGTAAGGCACTTACGATGTTGGGTGATGCTCGGATGTCCAATTTAAATTTGCTTGTTCCAACGACGACTATATTTGTCAATGAAGCATTGCCTCACTTGGATGGTGACGAGGTATTGTTCAGCTTTTTGAAGGACGACTCATGGACGTTGGACATATGGGTGTAGCTCAAAATTAAACAGGAGGGGCAAACCGCAGGTTTTGGTCCATGTTTCCACTTACCAGGGCAACCCATTTTGGAATTCCGGTTTTTTTAACCACAGCCATATTGAGGTACCTCATGCAGCGGGACCACACGGACAGTCAGTTCAAGCACCTCTCGGAGAATCTGGAGACGCAGGCAGGGCTAGCAGCCGTCTGGCCACCTTTTTCAAGGGGAACAGGATGCCAAAGCATGGTTCACCCACCTTGTTTAAACCACCCCGTCCAAACCGTTTGGTGAGTACAGATGGAGGGGCCTTAAAGACAGGGTGGCTGAAATCCAGATTCAACACCTGGTCGGGTCACGAGTTCCCATACGTTATGTGCCATGGTCGGGCGGGTTCCTTGTGGATGGGGTTGGGGATGGCGTTGACGGCCAATCAAAAGGTCCATTTTCTGAAAAACGGGTCTCGGCGTCGGAGCTTGGCTATTGCCCAGGAGGCGAAGTTGGAGGGCGCCCGAGGTGCGCTGCTGCGGCATGAGAAGGCAACCACGGAGCAGGCGAGCGGCTTGGGGTTTGGGGAGTTGGGGGGTCTGGGGGGTCTGCGGGGTGGTGTTAAGCAAGCCGCCTGCGGATGTTTGGTGTGATTGGTCGGTTGAAAGAGAATACCACAGGGACAGCCGATTTTGGCGGTCCACATCTCCAGTTCGACACAGAACCACATGTAAGGGGCTGGTTGACAGAATCGACCAAGCCTGGGTGGGGTGGAGCTGGGTGCACAGTTATTTGGGCTGGAGGGCCGGGGTGGCGGGCGTGCTCTTTGGCCCTCTTCCGCAAAATATTGCGGCCTTAGGGTTCAAAATCTTTGTTAAACCCGCGCGGATTTCAGCTGGAAGATGAACCAGGCAATTTGCTCATGCCGATAAAATCGACTGGGGTCGGCCAGGCCCGCAGCCTGCAATACCGTGTGCTGGCGGTTGGAACCTCAATGGTTGAGCCCGCGTTAGATACATGCGCAACATACAAGATTACGCAGTGTGCTAGTTGACAGTTGGAGAAGACTTGGGCCCAAGCAAATTTCAATGCAACCCAAGCATGCCCGACCCCTTGCAGGGAAATTCTCACATCCTCTTGGGGCAAGCTGCGTGATTTTGTCCGGAGCTCAGGTCGAGAAAGGCCTGGAAGCAGCGGAGAAGGAAAAGGCCCGCTCCTTGCCAGCGAAGCGATACACTGCTCGCCAGCGATTCCCAGCGAGGCCACACGAGAGGAGCTGCTGGAAAGATTTGAAGACATCAACTATCGCCTGAGAGAGGACCCGTGCCTTTCAGACTTTCACCCAGCGCGTGCGCAGAAAAAAAAGCACCCCGAGTTGAGTTTCTCATGACAGGAGCTGTCTTTGGATCCCATTCGTGCCGACCTGGCAAACATCAAGATCTTCATTCAGAAGCTGAAGGAGTCCATGCATCATTGCAAAGGCAGGCAGGCAGGCGGGCAGGCGGGCGGGCGGTTAGGCAGGACAGCTTCTAGCTTGCTTTCTAGATATCTACCTTTGCTTGGCTTGGTTTGTGCGCTTGCAAGCAGATCCATGCCTTCTCGCTGAGCCCACACCAGGAAGATAAGGTGGATGTGCAAGATATCGCAGCGGACCGCGAGAAGGCCTGGCTTCGCCCGTACGCATGAAGTCACTGTGTTCGTTTGCATCGAATGAGCATGATTCAAAGTCTGTGTACCGCGAAGCAATTGGCTCAACAGCTGCTCCCCTGACCGCAGCATGCTCCCTTGCATAGCTTCTTTGACTGCTTGGGGCTTGAATTTGAAGTGAGATGCACCTGACAAATGGCTAGACCACGCGTCTCCCTTTCCAAGGTCTTTGCAGCAAATGCAGAATCCAAGCCTCAAGTTGGCATGGGAGCAGCGAGAGGCACAATGCGCCAAGCCCCGCCAAGCCTTTTGCCCTTGTGCCAAGTTGAGCAGGACTGGGGATGGGAGCTTTGCCTTCACTCCTGAAGTGCAGAGGACCTTGTTTGCTTGTCCAAGGCTTTGGCATTCAGACCATTCCTTGCCAGCGAGGCGAGACGGATGCGCAGTCGCACGCAGCTGAGCAGGCCAGCGCTTCGGCAGATTTGGGCCCGGAGCTGCTGCCCAGTTTCACCAGGTTCGCTTGGCGGCTGCCCTGGCACGGCAAGCGAGCGCGTGTTGTGCAGATCTTCCAGAGGCCGCCACTTCAGCCCAACTGTCGGTTTGGTTCTTTGGTTCTTTGTCGAGGTGTCGACTCCCAGGCCCGGATTGCGGTTGAGGAATCTGGCCATGCAGTTGCTTTGTGCCTGGACTTTTGCCAGTTGGTGGGAAGGCAGCGCAATCTCCCCAGGGCAAACCAGTATGATCAAAGCCGGGGCCCAAAATGCCGAGGCTTGGCCACCAGCGGAGCTCCTCATGTCCCTGGCAGCCCGGCGCACAGAGGGTTGGAAGTACGGGCCCAGCAACCACTTAACCCGGTGACAGGGACGGTCCCAGCCCAAATTCGACGGTCTAGATACCGTGGGAAGCCCTGACTCACCGACTGCAGAACTCGGTGAGGCCCTGGCACGAGAAGCGGTAGCGCTGTGCAGGCCTTCTGCGGGGAACCAAAGTATGCGTCTTTGGATAGGGTTGGCCCGCGAAAATGGCTTCAGGTTGCCTGATTTCCCTGACCAAGACCCTGCCCCCCCCCATTTTAAGGATGCCCTCAGTCTGTAGCAGTACACTACTGTCTCCATGTGCTCAGGGATCGGATGGCACCATGAGCTTCCAGACTTTAAACAGCCTTGGGGCATCGGGAGAGCGGAGAGTCCAACCAGGACTCCCCTGCACACCCATCGGCGAACATTTGTACTTGGTCAAGTCGGGGCTGTTGGGGCATCGTCTATTGGCCAAGGTGGACGCTGTCATGGCCTGGGCGGAATTGGCAGCTGAGAGCTGCTCAGTTGGAGCAGGAAAGTCTCTTGACATGACACTCGCGCCGCACTCAGATGACTGGAGGGGTAGCTTGAGTGCAAGATTCACCAGGCGGTCGCAAACATCTCTGCAGCGGTAGCCCTTGCAGCTTCGCTGCAATCCCAAAGGCAACCAGCCAAGTTGTCAAGCTTTAGCACTGCAGACTGGTCGCAGGCTCGACAGAATCCATCATGCACTCGAGAATACCAGGCTGGCATTCAGGAGCTTGACTATGGACATGAATGGTCTTTGGAAATTTCTCCCTCCTTCCTTGTGTTTTGGACACTCTATTCGGGGTTGGCCTTGAGGAGGAACCAAAGGAGAACCAAAGCAAAACCACCTATTCTTGGGGTTCTTCTCTTTTGACGAAGCCCGATTCGCAGGCCTCCCAGTTCCTACTTCAACACACTCACTCACGCAACGTGTGGCACTCAGAGCGAGCCGCAAAAGGAGGCACCATTGCTCCCCGCTAAGTTCCTCTACACTCTTCCCTCCGGGGCGCATCGAGGAGCCGAATGGAGATCTTAAGAGACTTCGGGGGTTGAACAAAAGGGCAATTCCACTAAAACGATTGGTTTGCGGTTTCCAAGGATTCACTGACAGGACTCAGAGCCTGCGCTCTTGGTCCGCTTCTTCTGTGCCCGGGATTCTCAGATCTGCGAAGGCAATAGGCTTGAGGCTTGAGTTGGAAGCAACTGAGCATTTGATTGCTGTCAATAGTTTGGTCTGAGTCCCGTACAGACCCGCTGACCAGCCTCGTGTGAGGCAGCTGCAGCCACGGCTCTCCTGGAGCTGCGAGCCATAGTTCTGGCACGGCACCTCAGTGGCTCAAAATGGCTATGGCTCGTCAAATTCGGGGACCCAACAAAGGGCGGTGCTTTTGGTTTGCCTTCACGCCAACCCAAAAAGGCGGTCTCAAAAAGAACGCGGTCACCAAACCTCTTGGCATAGCAGATTCGGGGTGACAACCAATCCTGCTCTTCGGACACTGGCCTTTGGGAAGTAAAGGGAAACTAGCCAGTGGCAGACGATCAGCGGTATGTGACTTTTCTTAGGGACCACCCTTGTTTGGGTGGTTCCTGTAACTGGAAAGGGTCTCCAAAAGCAAACAGACACACACACACACACAAACACACCCTCATGGATGGCTGAGGCCACCCACACCTCATGGATTGCCAGCCAGCCCGAGCCGGCTGAGCCGGCGGAGTATGAGGTCTTGGAGCCTGGAGCCTAGGGAGAGAGTAGATTCATGGGCACAATTCCTCTATGGTAAGTCATTGGGTCATTGGGTCATTGGGTCATTGGGTCATTGGGATGACTGCACTGCACCAAGAGAAGCCAACGAGAGAGCCTCACCACCTTTCATCTTTTTGATCCTCAATTATGACTCGATCATATGCTGTGTTCTTTTTTTTGGTGAGTCTGTTGTCCCCTCTCTTCGCACTGCTCACCAGCCATCTTCCGCCTCACACGCTCCTTTTAGCCGTGAGGTGAGTCTCGATGAAAGGAATAGGTAAGGAAAGGCTTTCGGCTTTCCCTCGCCGACAAGCGAAGGCAATTGGCGAAGGAAAGGGAAAGATGGCTCATTCACTCAATGAAGCTCGAACATACAAAAGAAAACATGAAGGGGCCATTGTGCCTACTTTCGCGCAACTAACCAGGGAGAGAGTCCTGCTCTTCATGATCCGTCCGGCTGAGGAATCTCCGGCTATCCGCTGACTTCCTGCAGCCTAGGGTGGCAGCCCTCGGAGTTGGCAGCAAGATCGTGGACATGCTGCTGAGGTTGTAGAGACATCGGACATTCGGGAGCGATTGGAGAGCTCACGCCCACTTCTGAGCCTAGCGACAGATGCCGAGTGAGACCCGTTCCGAGTATTTGCTCATTTGATCATTTGCTTTTTTGTGTGGTGGACCATGCATTGACTCCGTGATGTTCTGGTGACAAATTCAGGTGAGCCTCTAGCACTTGCCATGCGACGAGCACTCGAGGAGACAAGGCAAGAGGTCAAAAGCTCTGCAGAGGCCAGATACTCATGAGTTGGCAGAGTCAGAAGAAACTCTTGCCCTGCCAGGCGCTTCTTGTGTTGGATTTGCCCATGCAGACCACTTATTCGCAAGTCCTGCACTATGTAGAGGAGGAGCGGACCGTTGTGGAACTGCGTTGGCTTTGAGATTGCTTGCATGCGGCAGGTTCAACGACATCTTCCTGAAGGCGCTTGAAAGTTGATCGCAGCAACAGTTTTCTGACGCGGACCAGGGATGCGCATTCTCTTCCTCGAGGAGTACTTTCTCAAGCATGGGCCTTTGCCCTGGAAGTGATTCCATGTCAAGACACTTGGAACCCTTTCATCAAGACATGCAAACTTAAGATTCTTCGTCTGTAAACATTGTAGGGTTCTCAAAGTTACCCCAAAGGGGTGGCTCTTTGAGTCACTGAAGCCGATTCTAAGGCCACAGCTCTCGATGCTGGTCAGACAGGGTGCGATGTCGGTACGCCACCCGAGTTTCTGTAGCGACCTGTTTTTTTTTACCAACATGGCCATGGGTCAAAAGTCCGTACCCCCAGTGAACATCCCAATCCCCACTAAAATGGACTAAAATGGGTGGTGCACCTACCCCAAAATGGTACCACTGGTTTTGACCCACAAACCAACATGTAAGATAGGGGGTCAAGAAACCCGTTTTGGGGTGGGGGAGAAACACGTGCTGTTCATTTCCTTGGGACCTTCTCTGGGCATCCATGTGACAGCTAAGGCAGTGGAGGTGGCCTGGGCCGCAAACGCCGCAGAGATGCGATGTGAGATCTAGTGAGTGCCAAGGTTTTCCGACCTGCCTTTGGGCTTCACCATCAGGATGCCGATCTGTGGGAACAGGCCAACGGGATGAGCTGCGATTTCTTTGTGCCACTCGCGATCAGCTTCCCGCTGCGACAGACTCCATCTTTGGCCAAGCAGCGCTGCGCAGGGTGCCAAGAGGGGTCACCAGAAAATAGGCCTCCGATACTCTTAGCTTGAGGGACAAAAGCAACCATCAAAACACGAGAGAGGGAGAGAGAGAGGGAGAGAGAGAGGGATAGAGAGAGAGAGAGAGAGAGAGAGTGAGAGGGAGAGAGAGAGCGAGAGGTAAACCACCAAGCGTGTCTTGACATGGAGGTGACAGTTTTTCTTTCCTGGGTTCTGACATCTCGGGACAACTCATCAACCCTACCAAAGAACAGAGCCAACGCGTGCATCCGGCTTTTTTCTTCTTGTCCTAAGCGCTTCAACGGGTCACTTCGATCCCAACGCTTCAGCTTCGCTTCGCTTGAGGCGCTGGCCAGCAGCTGCTGGAGGGCCAGGCCCTGTGAGGACCTGTCGCCTTTCCAGCGGCTCGGAGCGATGCGGCGTGGGTGGTGGTTTATGCGGCGCGGGGGGTACCAAGCTGGGAAGCTAAAAGGGAATTATTCCAAGTTGGGGTCCAACATGTCGATGAGAAAGTGAAGGAATGGATTGAGAGAGTGGGAAAGAGTAAGGACCTCAGCAGGAGAACGGCCAGCTGATCCAGGCTGCTGGCACGAGTCCCACGTAATCCATCGGTGAACTTGCGCCGGCAGCCAAATGAGGTTTCGCTTGCCCAACGGCTGTCCAAGATCCAGCGTGCGGGCCAGAGTGTGTGAATGCGCGGAGTGCGGCCTGCACTGCATC